GAGTGACAATCAGCTGAGACGTGTTAGGCAACATGCTACTCCGCAGCTCATTTTCTCTTCTGCCTAAAAGGGAAAATGTCCGCTCACCCTGGCAGTTTGTCGCTGGCAAAGTTAGAAACATCCCAAGGGCCACGAAAACATTGGGGAACACTGACTAGCAGATTAAGTGCCTGCAACGTCTCAAGCGATTTAGTTGGGCACTTCTCACCCTCAGAGTCAGACATGAAAGACTTGAATTGGATGAGTTCGTTGGCAAAGTTCATGTCCAGGTCTGATGGATATACAGCGGAGAGTGCATTTACCTTTTCCACTATGACATCACTGTTAGACACCTGATCTGACATCAACATAACTCCAAAGAGACTGGTAAAACGCTTGTAAGCGTCCAAGCAATGTTCAAGGCATGCCACTAGCTTATCAATGACCACATAAAAAATTTCTATTTTTAACTTCTCCCTCGCCTCAAGTGTCACACCTGGCTCTGAGCTCTCATCTGCGAATGTTTGGCATTTCCTCTTTCGCTGAAGATCGTGCTTATTTGACTGAGAGACACCTGTAACATTTAAGGCTGCCCTTTCAAAAGCCTCAAACTGGTCTCGCTGTCCCGCCACAAAATCCCTAAACGAAGACAAAAGCTGTGCTGCTACAGATATGTCAATGTCACTTGTATGTAGGTGCATGCTTGTAGCGTGGAACCGGTCAAGAATGACGTCTCAGAAATGTGCCATGAACACAATTCAATTTAGCACGTAGTCCAGCGGCCTCAATTCGAGTATCTCTTTTCTCATGATCAACTTTGCACACACCACCGAAGGCCTCTCTAATGTGGGTGTAATTTCTCCACACTGCCTTGGTTGACTCTGCCCGAGCACTCCACCGAGTACTGGACAGCGATTTTAATGTCAGTCTGACATTTGTCTTCCGAAAGACTTTCCCCCATCTGTGTGTGGATGAAGAGAAAAATGTGTACAGTGACTGCAACATGTTAAAAAAAACTCGTCCGCCTTTGGGCTAAGGTGTTAACACCAACTAAGTTAAGTTAACGCGCTGCGCAAGGCACAGACTCTATCAGAGATTTTTTTTTGTTTCAGGTGGGCCTGTAGCCCATTGTATTTTCCTGCCATGTTGCTTGCATTGTCACATGACTGACCTCTACAGTTTGAGTGGTCCAACGGAAGGCCCTCCACCATCAAAGTCACACAGTCTGCTCAACGTTTACCAGTGTGGCTCTCAATTGGCTCGAAGCCCAGGAATCGCTCCACCACGTTCCCGCTGCTGTTAACAAACCGGAATATGGACGTCAATTGGTCCACATGTGGCAGGTCTGGAGTGGAGTCAACAATTATTGAAACATATTTGGCATCCCGAATCTCATCTGCTATTGTTTGGCGAGTTTTCTGACCCATTAGCTCAGTGAGTTCTTCACATATTGTCGATGACAAATGTGACACTGTGCCTCTTCCTTTTCCACCAAACTTTTTTATATGTTCAGCTAAGAATGGGTCAAACTGTGATAGCAATTCTAGGATTCCAAGGAAATTACCGTTATGGGTTGACCCAAACCGTTCATCATCTCCCCTAAACGCAAGTCATCTTTCACCCAAGAACTTGATCACTGCTACAACTCTTTTCAAAATATCCCTCCAGTATTTACGTTCCCCATCAAGTTGATGCAATGAGATCTGCATCTACAGCACTGCTCTTTGTCCGCTGGTGCGAGTCAAGCATGCATGATCTGTATTATGCACTCTTTTCACGTTCTCCTATTTTTAAATCCTTTATATTAAGTTCCCTTGCTTGCTTGCTTGCGCGCTTACGACCGTGCAAATCTTTCGGTCGTTTTTTAACCCACTTCCCGTGATCCAATCGAGCTGACATTTTGCACACAGACTCGTTGTGTGTGACAATTTATTTTCGTGAAAAAAAATTTCCAACATTTTACACTTTTTAGGAAATATATATATTTAATTACCAATTGCTTAATGGTGGCAGGCAATCATCTGACCCATAGGTGGCAGCCATCTCAAGCCAGAGGACGAGAGGACTCTAGCCGCCCGTTTCAAAGACCAATGTGGGCTGGGTTGTGGCCCATTGAACACGTACTGTAATTTAAAGGATTTATAGTGAAAAACTTTGTTTTTACGGGTTAATTTTTTTCAGAGTGCTTCCAGTCACTAAACCCCTGACTAAAGCCACCGAGCTCGCTGGAGAACAGTTTGCATGCAAAATAGTGCACACACAACCTGTTGAGGGTGAGTACAGGAGCCACTGTCTAGAAACCTTCTGCCCATTTGGCAATATACAGTTCAGAAGTTCATTGTTGAAACTTCGAGTCTTTCCACCAAGCGCTCTATCTCGGACTGGAGCTGGGTATTTTTCACAGCGGTTTTGAAGGGGACTGCTCCTCTTTCAATAAGCCCTGACTTAACAATGTCACTGGAAGTGCTTTGCCATAATGCAGGGTCCGTGACCTCATAGCACCAGGAATGGCTTGGTGGCTGATTTGAATTCTTGTGAACTGCCCAACTGCTCCTGAGGTGTAAATGATGGTTCTTATATTATACCATCAGCTGTTGAGGGTTCACCTTCAAAGGATGGCTCTGGGAGAGTGACAACATTACTGGAAACTGAACTAGTGCTAGTTCCTTCCTCACAGCTGTCAATATTGCTGCTGTCATCATTATTACTATCAGAGGGTTTTTTTAAAGAAGTTGGCAATTAGTGGAACACTTTGAAGCAAAACTGCCTCTCTTCCTCCCCTTTCTTTATTGGCTTTCCTTTTGGAAGCACCATAACGTTTGTGGTCCATATTTCAGAACTAGTATGCTATTTATATGAATATATTTATAGCATATCTCAATACTTATTAAATAATAATTGAATTGATATATATTGACAACACCCTTCAAATGCTTTTGCTGGAAAATACAATAAAGTGTTAGTATTTTATAGTCTACTTGAACCTAAAGGCAGCTGTGAGTAGATGAAAAGAAAACATTTGAAACGCACATAAAAGAAAATAACCCTAACCCTTTAAAAAGATTGTTAGAAAATAGCCCTTGGGAGGGATTGTTAAAATAGCCTTTAAAAAGCCTTTTTAAAAAGCCTTTAAAGAGGCTGTTGTTTTAGAAAAATGTTTTTAAAATTCTCTTAATATATTACTGATGGCATACCAAGTAAGAAAACAGGCATCTGTATGTGGCTTTTCCTACCAAGACAAGTATCATAGACCTGCCTGACACAGAGAGAATTATGTTGCTTGAAATTCAAAAGATAACTTTTTTTTTCATTGGCTGAACAACCAACAAAGGTTTCTGATAAGTCAGTGAAATTACTTGGTGGAGACTCTGCACATAGGCCGCACCCCATCGATGGGGAGGGGAAAAAAGTCCTCGTAAGAACTGTCGACAATTTGCATGTCAACGTTAGCATTATCTACTTCCGTGGGTCTAAAAACAGACGGTCTATGGAAAAAAATGAATGGCATTTTCCCAAATCTTTAAGTATAGATTGGGTCTCTTATATATGCGTTAGTGTATGAAAAACGATAGCTTTTGGCATATATTTTTTAATGTTTCACAAAACCGCGGTGTATGTTTAATAATTGATTTGTCAACGGCTAACTAAGCTCTCAACAAACGACGAGCCCTCGGTCTCACTAGCTGGCTGTTTAGTGCAGCCAATTTGGTTGTAAGGGCAGCTGGCTGGCAAAAATAGCAGCTCGCTAACTAACTTCTGTTAACAAGCTGAATCATGTGGGCAACTAGCTAGAGGAAATGGGCAGCTAGCTAAAATAAAGAGATAGCTAGTGACGGTAAGTCAAATAACGAACGGCTTGCGATAATATGACGCCCTTCAAGCTGTCCTGTTATGCAGAATGAACTGACTTGTTGGTGAATATTGTACCACGTCACAGCGTATTGTAGCAGTGCCAACCAGTGGCTCAGCTGTACAGCAGCACTGCACTCCCCCAGGTGTTGCACTCGATGTGTGCACCGAGGGGCTGATGGGCCCTAGTGGCCAACTCACGGTTTAAGCACCGAGGGGCCTCACATTGTCAGGGCTGAGAGGTCCGGGGGCCCTAGTGGTGATCTCATGCTGTAAGCACCCAGGGGCCTCGTGGTCAGCTTGCACTGTGCGCACTGAGGTCCCTGGCCTTCAACTTCCATAGGAAGTCTTGGGCCACGCACCGCACGCGGCCTGAGGCTTGGAGGCCCCCTGGCAGTCCGAGTCCCCGGGGCACCGGCCCCACTGGCCCGGTCCATAATCCAGCCTTGGGCAACACCGCCGTTGCTGTTGTTGTAGCGGTCATGAGCGGAGTGGTCAAAGATTGTGACGGGGATGGGAAAATAATTGAGAAACAAGGCGAATGTAACGGTGAAGCCTACGCGCGCAATGATTCACCACCCTGGTCACTTCCAAGGATCAGTTCGTTTTTGTCTCATTTATGGCCTCTCATTAGCATTGTTTCAAATTGCTTTTCTGTCTGGTAGTTTTGTCTGCCCCGCTACCGTGAGCCTGAATGTAATATAAGCAAGCGATTTGTACCTAATTAGCATTAATAGAAAAACTCACGTCTAGATTACATACGCGCTTCGATGCATCTACCGCGAGCTTTGTGAGAATCGATATTAATTCGTAAAACGATGCATCGCTACCCGCCCAGTAAAAAAACAAGGCGAAGGCAACTGATTGATCGAATCGCCGCCCTGAATTTCGGCAACGGATTAAGGTTTGGGGGTTTTAGTCCATTGGTAAAGGCCTTCAAAATCATGGTCTCTGGGTGGAGAAAGACAACAACACCAACCCACCCATGGGACCGTTATTCCAGAGATTCGGCGAGAAGCGGCGGCCCTTTCGCGGGCTGATTGCGCGATGGGCGTTGTTTAAAAAAACTCATAATCGGAAAAACAACTTCTGATCTCTCAGTGATCACGCTCGCCTCTCCCAATCTTCTCGACCCCCCCACCACGCCACGGCCGGTGCCCCTCTCCACGCAGACGAGGGCTGCGTGGACTCGTGGTTGCAGCGGCACGGCGGCGCGCGGCGCTACTACGGCGGCGCCGTGGCCGTCACGGAGTCGGGCGACGCGTGCCTCAGCTGGAGCCTCTTCCCCGACTTTTCGCGGCGGTTCCCGCGGGGCGCCGGCCTCGGCGACCACAGCCGCTGCCGGAACCCCGACGGAGACGCCCGCCCGTGGTGCTTCCGACGCGAGCCCGGCGGCGTCGTGGGCTGGGCCTACTGCCGGTGCAACGACGGTGAGAGGCGGCCCCCACCAGAGGCGTAGCTGGGGGGGGGGCAGGGGGGTACACGTGTCCCCGGGTGCCAAGGCAAAGGGGCGCCAAGATGAGGCTTACAACGTCACATTATAATTTATTGCGGCGGGCGCAGCAGCCTGAAACTACTGCACAAATCTACACCTAAACCTAAAAGTTTATATATCCCGCCACACACAGCCGACATGTCATGTAATTACATTTTGGTATGTGATTAAACGGGGGGGGGGGGGGGGGGCGCCAATTTTATAGTTCGTCCCCGGGCGCAAAATATCCTAGCTACGCCACTGGCCCCCACCAACCCCCGGTCGCCTCACCGACGCGTGGAGGGGTTTCTCGCGTGCGCCGTCGGCTCGGGGAGCGCAAGATTAATGTGGGGGGGGGGGGGGGGGTTAATGTGAAACCAACTTCACCAAAGGAATATCAAGGGTTCATAGTCTTAGGTTTTTTTTGGTAAAGTCACGTAGGGAAAAATAAAAAATAAAAAAATTATATAAATAATAATAGAAATAAAATAATAAATAACGACGTTTCGGAGGCAACACAAGCTTCCTTCATCAGGTGTAAAAAAGGCACAGCAAAATAACTGTATTTTTACCTCCGTGACTTTACCGATAAAAACCTAGAGTATGAATCTTTGCTGTCACCAAATCTAGAATATCAAGGGCAAAGCAGAATAAGTACCGTGATTGTACGATTAACTCTTTTTGTTTATCACGCGTTCCACTTTGGCTGTCGCTGTGTATGTGAGTGTTTAATATCAAGCAGGTGTTGTTTGGGAGGCAGTATGGGGCGCCGCTGGTGGCGAGATATTAACTACCTCGCCTAGTATACAGGAGGTTGTGGCTTCGATCATGACCCAGTCGTCTGTAAATTAGGAGTTTTCATGTTCTCTCTTTCTCCCTGTGGTTGCGTGGATTTTTCTCCAGGTCCTTCGGTTTTTTCCTACACATTTGGACCCGACACGCGTTTAGACTATTCGGCTGCTATAAATATCTGCACGATAAGCCACTTCGTTGAGCTATCATTTGTGATGGCCAGGTGGCTTCTGAAAAAGAGCTCCATTGGCCCTTACCTGGTAAAATACAAATTATACAACGGGGGGGGGGGCCTTCAACAGGAGGTCTCAGCCCCCTCCAGCCACTACAGAGGTGGAGGGTTGCTTGTGTAGAGCCGACTTTGTCAGGGTACAAGACAACACGACGTGGATTCGCCAATGGTGTGAACGCAACCGCATGACACGGCACGTTGAGCTCATGAGGTGGCCAGGCGGCTCAGGGGAGGGCAGAGCGCTGAGATTTTCTCTCCGGGTCCTCCGGTTTTCCCCTCCACGTTTAGAAACGTGCATTGGGGTTTTATTTAGATTGTTTTGGTGCTAGAAATGTCCAAATGATGGGCCATTTTGTTGAGCTATCATTTGTGGCCAGGTCGCTTCTGAAACACATTCCTGCGGAGGGAGCTGGTAGGAACGTTGGGTTGCTCGGTCAATGGCCAGGGTCAACGGCGGCGTGGTGTATTCCGCAAATATGTCCGACTGTGAGGGCGGGCACAAGGCGGCGTGAGTAGGTTGAACGTTGAGTTTTATAAGGGCACCACGGGGTGACCAGCCCCTCCCCACCCTCCCCACCCAGCCCCTCCCCACCCTCTTCACCCAGCCCCTCCCCACCCTCCCCACCCAGCCCCTCCCCACCCAGCCCTCCCCACCGTCCCGTCCTTACCCAGCCCTTCCCCACCCACCCCTCTCCACCCAGCCCCACCCCTCCCATTTTTGGATGCACGACGGACGGACGGACACAATAATCCCCTGTGGGCTGGTGTAACCAAGAGGTTCCTACCAGTAAAATAAGTTAATACCTCGGTGAGCTTTGCCTGGTAGGATGTGTTATACTGGATAGTTTAGTTGTATTCTTTTGTGTTTGGGTAGTTTGCACTCCTATTGTGTTTGTGTTGTTTGTTGTTGTAACGTTCTGACCCCGTGCCTCCACTAGACAGCCGTGAAAAAGAGCTTCATGGCTCATCGGATTCCTTCTCAAGTATAAATAAATTTGCTGATTCTGAACATCATAATCTCAACTTGTATCAGGCTGCCGCTGCCCGATCCTGGCCAGCTGACTGAAACACTCAATAGACGATCAAAACATTTATGTTAATGTATTCTGTCATTAGCAATCTCTAATCCATAGTAAACAACAAAAAACCTCCAACACATTTTGGAATGTCGTTTACGTTATAAAAAAAACCTTGAGCAATCGGGATTCAACACACGTAAAGAGGAGGTGAATAACAGATCCTGGAAAGGGTAAACATAGATGAAGAATGAAGGCTGAGTGGAGGGTACTGCGATGTTCTGGGCTTGTGACGAGGACAAATGGTGGCCGGCTGAAACGGAAGGTGACGGAGGGAACCCTGGACAGACCAGGGACTGCCATCTGATGAGCTTCACAGCTTATCGGATTTCCGATTCCGAGGAACTGACTGGGCGTCACACATTGACCGCTGCGTGGGGTGGAAGCCATCTCAGCTGGGACGTCGCAGCGAGTGACAGACACCGAGAGATAGCGAGAAGTGGAGAGAGGCCACCGCAAGGAGATGTCGCTGAAGGAAACGGTCGCATCCCTGACGGCCCACAAAGCCTCAGGGCAGAGGAGACGGATCGGGAACTTGAGGCCCCCATCGTGGAGTCTGGAGGAGTCGGGCACCGAGCCACTGTGGGGGTCAGGGGCGGCGGCGTGGATGTGAACCGGACCCAAGCCACATGCTGCCACCACCACTGCCACTGCTGCCACCGCCGCCGCCGCTGCCACCACCGCCGCCGTGGTGCTCTGATCGACGTGTGGGCCGGGCGGCCTTTGAATGCGCTAAGAATGCCATTGAAGGGCGCCATTGAAGGGGGACGCACGTCAATTGTTCTTCTCGGCGACGGCCCCCGTCCACATTTATAACCCGGCGCGCTCCGTGCTGGCTAGAAGAAAAAAATCCGCATCCACGTATCTGTGGCATCCACAATGGGCCGTCTTTCTCTTTCCTTTTTCATTTTAAATGCAAAACAGAGCCTCTTTAACGCAGTCACAAAGGGGGGATATTTGTAAGGCTTAGGTTTGCCAGAAGGTCTTTGTAGTCACATGCGCGCGTGTGTGTGTGTCGAGGAGCGGTGGTGTAGCGGTTAGCGCGCTGCGCTATGAACCCGGTGACCCGAGTTCGACTCCGGCTCACGGCCACCAACACCAGCGACGATTGTCTGAACAGGTCCTAGGCCTCTCCCCTAGGTACGACTCGGTGTGGAAACATCGACATTGGGGAGACAAAAGCGGCCGGGCGTGGCGCTGGCCAACCAGCCTCTCGCGTGCTGTGCCGGCCTTCATAGGTGCTCGCTAACAGAACTTGCCCCAACAGTCTGCTTAGGCTGTACGGGGGACCTTTGTCTTTGTTGTATCGAGGAGCGGTCACGTCGTGGGAAGTTCGCTGCACGAGTATCACGGCGACCCGCGTTCCAATTCTCAGTCATCGCTTAAATCGGTGCCAACTGTCTGAACCAGTCCTCGGTTAGGTTGACTCAGCCATCAATGAGTACCCGGTAATTTATGTGAACATCAGCACCCGAGGAGACAGATTGTGGCCGAGAGTGGTGCTGGCCACACAGCACTTGACCCCATAGTCTACGGAGGCTACACTGGGTGGATCTTTACCTTGACGTGGTGTGCCTGTGCTGCATCATAAACACATTCCTCCTGCGGAGGGAGCTGGTCAGAACGTTGGGTTGCTCGGTCAATGGCCAGGGTCAACGGCGACGTGGTGTATTCCGCAAATATGCCCGACCTTGAGGGCGGGCACAAGCCGGCGTGAGTAGGTTAAACGTTGAGTTTTATAAGAGCACCACGGGGTGACCAGCCCCTCCCCACCCAGCCCCCACCCAGCCTCACCCTCCCCACCCAGCCCCTCTCCACCCTCCCCACCCAGCCCCTCCCCACCCTCCCCACCCAGCCCCATCCTCCCCACCCTCCCCTCCCTGGTGTAAGCAGGAGGTTCCTACCAGTAACATAGTGTGTCGGTGCAGCTGTGTAATCGTGTGTGTGTGTGCGCGCATTTATTACAAGTCAACATAGCCAGGCACCGTGGCGCACGCATGTGATTCGGCAATTTAGAGGCGAGGGTTCGCCTAACCTGACTAATTTTGTTTTTAATGAACATTGGTTGTGGAGGTGGAAAGGTGGGAGGGGTTTGGAGGGGCGTCCGGGTGGAAAGAACGACGGGAGCCGAGCCCAGAGAGCCGCGCGGCTCTTAGAGGATTCCTAGAATGGCTGAGCATGGCTCGGGTCTGCTTATCAAGCGGCGGTGGAAATGCAGCACGGTTGTCGGGGTGGTGGCGTAGCGGTTAACGTGCCACGCTATGAACCCGGCGACCCGAGTTCGATTCCCGCTCACGGCCAGCAACACCCAGTGACGATTACCTGAACCGGTCCTGGGCCTCCCCCAAGGTCGACTCAGCCTCAAATGAGCACCCGGTGCTCATTTGTACAGGCTATACCGGGGATCTTTGTCTTTGTAATTTTTTTTATTTATGGTGGTGGCGGTGGTGATGGCGTTGGTGGCGGGGGTTGTGTCCGCCCGTTGTGTTGCCAGGAGCGGTGCGGCTGGCCGGAGGGGCCACCGGCACGGAGGGGCACGTCGAGGTCTACTGGGCCGGGCGGTGGGGCACGGTGTGCGGCCGCGGCTGGGACTCGCGGCACGCCACCGTCGTGTGCCGTCAGCTCGGCCTCGGGTACTCACCAACATAGACACCAACATAGACACTCACTAGCAGAGCCACCAACATAGACACTCACTAACATAGACACCAACACAGACACTCACTGACATAGACACCCACTAACATAGACACTCACTAACAGAGACACCAACATAGACACTCACTAACATAGACACTCACTAACAGAGACACCAACATAGACACTCACTAACATAGACACTCACTAACATAGACACTCACTAACAGAGACACTCACTAACATAAACACTCACTAACAGAGACACTCACTAACATAGACACTCACTAACAGAGACACCCACTAACAGAGACACTCACTAACATAGACACTCACTAACAGAGACACTCACTAACAGAGACACCCACTAACAGAGACACTCACTAACATAGACACTCATTAACAGAGACACCCACTAACAGAGCCACTCACTAACAGAGACATGTATTACTCGTAGAGATAATCTCCAATGTAGAGCTTCACCGATATCGCTTGTGGCAGCGGGAATTCTAAACTCTCATGACAGGGCCCAGTGTCCCCGTAGGGCAGCGCCTGTTGACTTCGCACAATGTGAGATGACACTTTTTCTCAACCTCAGCGGGACGACGGGCTTCGTGGAAAGTTAGAATTTTTTAATGCGATGGACGAATCGTAAAAGCTACATCAGCGCGTCAAAGCGAATGGAACTTTTTTTTTCGGGCACGTAACCGGCAGTCACAATCGCGGTGATGCGGTGGCTTTTTTGTTCATTTATTTTCAACTCAACGCGAGCCCCCCGGGACACGAAACCGATCACGGGACAAGAATGTCGGGGGTCCACAGACATCCCGCAAACACCAGCCCCGAGATTGACGCGGCGGTGGCCGGGCTTGATGGAGGAGGAGGGGTCAGATTGGGCTCCCCCTTCATGGTGCCTGGTCCAAGTGTGTCTCTAGGGCAGTGGTCCTTCTTCCTCTTCATAAGCCGGGGGACATCACGCGTGCATGTCCCCCTGGCTGGTGTGAGACGCCATTTCTGGGGGGCGCAAGACACGGCCAAACTTTTTTTCAGGAGGTAAATAATCGAAAACACAAATTAAGTAGGGGCAAGTCAGTACAAACTGACTTTGTTTCAGCAAGCCTGTGTCTCTCTTCACAGAACCACTGCTCTAGGGGTCATCCTGCGTGGGGGTCACGGTAGTGCCCACGCACGACGCCAGGCTCGTGGTCCACGTGGCCCGCAAACTCGCCTGGGTCGCCCATCGCCGCTCGAGCGATTGACATAGCGCTACAATCTTGTCATTTTTTGTCGGTCGTTGCCAGGGAGAGGGGCATCGCGAGGAAGCGGGCTCGCTCCGGCCCCGGGCAGCGACTCGGGACGCGACTCGGGACGCGACCGCTCCGGCCACTGGCTGGGCCTGGCGTGCACGGGGGCCGAGTCGGCGCTGTCTCGCTGTCCGCGCGCCGCCGCCGGCGGCAGCAGGGGCACCACTGCCAGCTGCGGGCGCGCGGGGGACGCTGGCGTGGCCTGCGTGACGCGCAAAGGTGCAAGTGTGACGCGGAGGGTGTGACGCGTGGGGTGTGACGTGGGGGGTGTGACGCGTGGGGGGTGTGACGCGTGGGGGGTGTGACACGTGGGGGGTGTGACGCGGGGGGTGTGACACTGGGGGTGTGACGCGGGGGGGTGTGACACTGGGGGTGTGACGCGGGGGGTGTGACGCGGGGGGTGTGACGCGGGGGGTGTGACACTGGGGGGGTGACGCGGGGGGGGTGACGTTGGGTTGCGACGCGGCCCAAATGTCCTGGATTGGCGGAGACTGCCCCAGTTTCAGAACGGCTGCGTTGGTTGTCACCCTCAACAACATTGGCAAGATTTGGCGTTTTGCTCAAATTTATGGACATTTCTGACTTGAAAAAAAAACAATTATGCTCAATATTGCGCATTGGCTGTCAAAGCTTTGGTGAGTTTCATGTTGGCTGTTGTCATCAATTATCGTTTTGTATGATCTTCTGTGGTGTTGTCTGGCTACACATTGCCTGTTGAAGCTGTATCTTCTGTGGTGTTGTCTGGCTACACATTGCCTGCTGAAGCTGTATCTTCTGTGGTGTTGTCTGGCTACACATTGCCTGCTGAAGCTGTATCTTCTGTGGTGTTGTCTGGCTACACATTGCCTGCTGAAGCTGTATCTTCTGTGGTGTTGTCTGGTTACACATTGCCTGCTGAGGCTGTATCTTCTGTGGTGTTGCCTGGTTACACATTGCCTGCTGAGGCTGTATCTTCTGTGGTGTTGCTGGCTACACATTGCCTGTTGAAGCTGTATCTTCTGTGGTGTTGCTGGTTACACATTGCCTGTTGAAGCTGTATCTTCTGTGGTGTTGCCTGGCTACACATTGCCTGCTGAAGCTGTATCTTCTGTGGCGTTGCCTGGCTACACATTGCCTGTTGAAGCTGTATCTTCTGTGGCGTTGCCTGGTTACACATTGCCTGTTGAAGCTGTATCTTCTGTGGTGTTGCTGGCTACACATTGCCTGTTGAAGCTGTATCTTCTGTGGTGTTGCCTGGTTACACATTGCCTGTTGAAGCTGTATCTTCTGTGGTGTTGCTGGTTACACATTGCCTGTTGAAGCTGTATCTTCTGTGGTGTTGTCTGGCTACACATTGCCTGCTGAAGCTGTATCTTCTGTGGCGTTGCCTGGCTACACATTGCCTGTTGAAGCTGTATCTTCTGTGGTGTTGTCTGGCTACACATTGCCTGCTGAAGCTGTATCTTCTGTGGTGTTGTCTGGCTACACATTGCCTGCTGAAGCTGTATCTTCTGTGGTGTTGCTGGCTACACATTGCCTGTTGAAGCTGTATCTTCTGTGGCGTCGCCTGGTTACACATTGCCTGTTGAAGCTGTATCTTCTGTGGTGTTGCCTGGCTACACATTGCCTGCTGAAGCTGTATCTTCTGTGGTGTTGTCTGGCTACACATTGCCTGCTGAAGCTGTATCTTCTGTGGTGTTGCTGGCTACACATTGCCTGTTGAAGCTGTATCTTCTGTGGTGTTGTCTGGCTACACATTGCCTGCTGAAGCTGTATCTTCTGTGGCGTTGCCTGGCTACACATTGCCTGTTGAAGCTGTATCTTCTGTGGTGTTGCCTGGTTACACATTGCCTGCTGAAGCTGTATCTTCTGTGGTGTTGTCTGGCTACACATTGCCTGCTGAAGCTGTATCTTCTGTGGCGTTGCCTGGTTACACATTGCCTGTTGAAGCTGTATCTTCTGTGGTGTTGCTGGCTACACATTGCCTGCTGAAGCTGTATCTTCCGTGGCGTTGCCTGTTGAAGCTTCGCCCCACGTCGCCCCGCGTCGTCTGGTGACGCGCCGCAGGTTCCATGCCCTCGGTGAGGCTGGCGGGTGGCCGCTCGGCGCTGGAAGGCCGCGTGGAGGTGCTGCACGCCGGCGCGTGGGGCACCGTGTGCGACGACCAGTGGGACGAGCGCGACGCCCAGGTGGTGTGCCACCAGCTTGGCCTGAGGTCCGCACCGACCGCCCTGGCATAGGAACGTGGAATTTCCACCACTGCCCCATGTCCCACCATGCCCGTTGTCAAACAGCCTCTTGCTACTTGCATTGGTTATTTAAAGTTCTGCTTTTTAAATCAAAGTGACGAAGGGCAGTAACACCAAATTACGTGCTCACGATACAGCTGCTCTGGGGGTCTCTGCAACAACTCGGTGGCTATGAGATGTTAACTACCTCGCCTGGGATGCAGGAAGTCGTGGGTTCGATCGCAACCCCGACGCCTGCTCTATATTTGGAGTTTGGATGTTCTCCCCGTGGTTGTGTTGATTTCTCTCCAAGTTGCTCCGGTTTTGCCCTCCACGTTTAGAATCAACGTCACGCGTTTAGAGTATTTGGCTGCTGTATATTTCCGCATAATAAGACTTCGTTGAGCTATCATTTGTGACCAGGTCGCGTATGAAAAAGAGCTTTACCTGGTCAAATAAAAATAGCTCAGTTTAAATCGTTTAAATTCGTCCACTCTTCCACGTTGCCCAGATGTCTTGGAAGAGGTGGAGGATACCCACATTTTACCCCACCGTTTGACTAGCGGTGGTGTACCCATCGATATCGCACACTGGGTTTCAACCGCCCTGCCGGACAATGGATTTGAATCGGCGACTTTTGGATTGAAAGTCCAGTGTGCCGACAGTGACATCACAGCACCACTCCCACCGCTCATTGTAAATTATTATATTGGCAAACTAAGAAACCCTGGGCCGTGTCCCCTAAACCCCCTGCGTTAATTCGGCCACGCGTAGCATCGTCGTGTATCTGTGTTGAACTTCTGTCGCACCGTACGTGGTCACCTCCGATTGGCGCGGTTGGCTACCTACGACGCGAAAGAAGTTCAACATACGTACAACCGTGCTAATCGGAGGTGCGGCTGAAGGGCACCAAGCCAAACATAAAAAGCGGTTCTAAAGAAATGGGTTTTCAATCGAGGCAATTTAAAAGTGCATCGCTCCAGTGGCTTCCTAATATCGGAAGGAAGAGCGTTCCAGACGGCCGCAGAAGCTCACCTGAAAGCACCTCACGGTTTCCACTGCTGCTGCTGCTGGTGCTGCTGCTGGTGTTGCTGCTGGTGTTGCTGCTGGTGCTGCTGCTGGTGTTGCTGCTGCTGCTGCTGGTGTTGCTGCTGCTGGTGTTGCTGCTGCTGCTGCTGCTGGTGTTGCTGCTGCTGGTGCTGCTGGTGTTGCTGCTGCTGCTGGTGCTGCAGGTGCTGCTGCTGCTGCTGGTGCTGCAGGTGCTGCTGCTGCTGGTGCTGCTGCTGGTGCTGCTGGTGCTGCTGCTGGTGCTGCTGCTGCTGCTGGTGCTGCTGGTGCTGCTGCTGGTGCTGCTGCTGCTGCAGCTGCCGCTGCTGCTGCTGCTGGTGATTTAGTTTTTTTGCCGTTGCCGCTGTCGGCAGCGGGCAAGCCCGGGCGTTGACGTCGGCGCGCTTTGGCGAGGGCGTGGGCCCCATCTGGATGGACGAGGTGCGCTGCTTGGGCGGCGAGGGCTCGCTGGAGTCGTGCCCCCGGGCGCCGTGGGGCCACCACAACTGCCTGCACAGCGAGGACGCCGGCGTCGCCTGCAACCCGCACCAAGGTGGCGCGCCGCCACGGGAATCTCGCTCTGCGCCGGAGGAGTTCGACGGGCCGTGAAACGAATCTCCTTCATATTCTTAGGTTTTTTCGGTAAAGTCACGTAGGTAAAACATTAAAATTAATAAAAGTAAAATAAAATAAAAATCACGACGTTTCGGAGGCAACAGCTTGTGTTGCCTCCTAAATGTTTTACCTACGTGACTTTACCGAAAAAACCTAAGAATATGAATCCTTGCAGTCACGAAAACTTCAAATCTAGAATCTCCTTCACTGGCGGAGCCAGTGGGGGGGGGGGGGTGGGTGGCACGTGCTCCCCCAATGATCTGATCGAAATCTCTAATTTCGATTCGGATCATTGGGGTTTATTAGTAATTAATCGGCATTTGGCGACCCCCACTGCCACTGTGTAGTATATTACTATGTGCCAGGGACTCTATGAGATGATAGGACAATAGTCTGAGTCCATAATTGGCAATAAGTAACGGCAAAGCGGTTATAAGTGACTCACAGAATTGTGCGCAGTTGCGTGTACAGCACACGACTTCCCTGAAGGCATTCACCTTCAGCGAGCGCGATGCCGATCACACAACGCGGTTCGAATTCGACCCTCGATCGATGGCTGCACCATCGCCGCACACGCGTCGAATAAATAGCAAGGGACAAGTCCTTACTTACTAACAACTCCTCTATCATTTCTCATTGCTGGAGGGGTTTCCCCTCTCTGCCTGACAATCCTGGCTGCGCCCGTGATCTCCTTTATTTAGTTTTCAACAGATGACCAGCAGCCTGGTTGCGTCGGCAAGTTAGAACACTAAACAGATTTTTCTTTTTTACACGAGAGGGAGTGAAACGTATAGGAAAGGTAAATAAATCACAGATAAACACTATAACGTATTTTTATTTTATTTTAGCAGATAAAGCCCATTGAGGCATTAGTTTATTTTTCCAAAGTGATCTGACCCCCCCCCCCTCTACCCAATGCCTCCACCAGCAGCCACCTCTACAGGCCATCGTGTGGCCAATCCCCACAGGCTGAGGAGGAGGGTGGTAAGGTCACTGAGCGTGGGCATTGGGAGAGGTTGAGCCACCCAGAAATGTAGCATCCTTAGCCTCAAGCCTGCTGCGGGTTCAAGCGGTGCTTTGAGGGGGGGGTGGAGTCATCACCCCCTTGCGTGAACTGAGATGTTGGTGTCTGCGTCGTGTAAAGGTGTAATGACAGGGTGACACCTGCCAGCCTGTAAGGGTCATTGCGGTTATAGCTGCGGTACATGACGCCTTATGGTGAAGGGGCGTATCTGGGGTAAAGGTGAAGGGCGGTGTCAGTCGAGAAGCTCCGGGAACCATCCCGAAGGGTCTAGTAGGTTCTAGAAAGGGGGCGTGGCCAGCGGTGGCGCTTGGCCACGCCAGGCGGATATAAGGAGCACCGAGCCCGAGCTCCGGGGCTGTGAGCGTGGGGTCTGGGTCCTGGTTGCGTCGCTGCCGCCGTCACCTCTTCGACCACGTGGCTGTTCTTCTGCAAGAGCAGCTGCGTCGTCGCCGCCGCTACGCTCGTCGACCAGCCAGCGTAGCGCAGGACGCAGATGGGCTGCGTGTTGGAGCAGCCTGGGTGTAGCCGCGTTACGAAGTGTATCGCCCCGTGTGCTCTTAATAAATACCTTAATATATACCTTCTACTAGAAGCCTTCTACTAGACGTGTGTCAGAAGTTGCTTGCTGCAAAGGTAAAGGTGCAAGCCTGTGATTGCTCGCTCGTGCAACCGCTGGCGGAAGGGGCCCTCCATGCTAGGGTGCTCTGGAATATTCCGCGAGGGGGTGGTTATTTTTTCGTGGTCTTAATCTTCCACCGCTGCACCGCGCTGAGCCAATTTGCAATTGCTGAGTGGGCACGGCTGAAGGTGGGGGGGGGGTAATTCAAGAAACTTTCCCCGCTTGTGTCCACGTGCGTATGCGTACCCACGCATGCCGCGGTGGCGACATGTTAACTACCTCGCCCGGTATGCAGGAGGTCGTGGGTTCCATCCTAACCCTGGCGCCTGACGCCGCCAGCACCAACCAGAGGTCGCAATCGGGTACCCGATACCCGTACCCTACCCGGCTACCCGTACCCTACCCGTACCCGACCGGGTACGGGTACCCGTTTGCGACCCTGGTGCGGCCGGGTACGGGTAAGGAATCAAAACCCGTTTGCGACCTCTGGCGCCAACGCCGACCGCGATGAGACCACGGCACTGCCCGGCTGGCATTTGAACGCCGCTCGCCGCATCTGTCCCCCCCCTGCCCCCACCGCCTGCAGAGGGATCCGTCCGTCTGGTGGGTGGCAAGGGCAGCCACCAGGGCCGGGTGGAGGTCTACCACGACGGCGAGTGGGGCAACGTCTGCGACGACGGCTGGACGATGGCCAGCAGCCACGTGGTCTGCCGCCAGCTGGGCTTCAGGTGATGATGCCGCACGCTGGGGAGGGCCCACGCCGCGCGGTCAGCCAATCGGCGAGGCCGCTTGCGTCTACGTGCGCGTGCGTACCCGCGCACGTCGGTGCGCGTGTGGGGAGCGGTGGCGCAGCGGTTAGCGCGTTGCGCTCGCGGCAAACACCAGTGACGGTTACCTCAACCGGTGCTGGGCCCTCCTCCACTAGGTCGACTCGGCCTCAAATAAATTCCTGGTGTGGTGTGTAAACATCGCCACGATGGAGACAAAGGCGGTCGGGTGTGGTGCTGGCCACACAGCCCCCTCGTGTGTCGTGCCGGCCTTCATAGGTGCTCACTACCAGCACTTGCCTCAACAGTCTGTTAAGGCTACACGGGGGATCTTTGTCCTTGTGTGTATGCCGCAAGTGCGGTTTGCTGTTTGATTCTTGCTCAATGGCCAAGACCAGTAACGATTATCTGAACCGGTCCTGGGCCTCCCCTAGGTCAACTCGGCCTCATATGAGTTCCTCGTGGGCTGTGTGAACATTTGCACTGACAAGACAAAGCTGGCCGGGGGGTGATGCTGGACACCCATCTCTTCATCCGCCGTGTTGAGCCTTCGTAGGTGCTCGCTAACAGCACTTGCCACAAGAGTCTGTTAAGGCTATATGGGGGATCTGTGTCTATGTATGCGTGTGCCATACGTGTGTTTGGATACGCACCTCTCCCAAGTGTTTTAAGGTTCGTGCCGCGTTATTGTTCAGAATGATGTCCGACATTTTGCTCCCGGTTTCAGGAATGAGACTCCCGGCACGTGGAGCGAAACGTCGGACATCGGGCACGGCCCAGCTCTCGCTCCTGACCCGAAAACACCCGGCAGAGCCATTTGGCACGGCCGCGAACACCCACGCGGCGCCATATGAACCTCATGGCAGGACCCCGGGGTGCCATAAGCCCCCGGCTCTCGCATGAACTGCTTTGGGACGTCATTTTATGTCTGTTAAAGGCGAACGACACGGCAATCTAGTCCTCTCGACAAGCTCTACACGATGCGCTAATCAAAGTTTCAAAGTTTTGTTTCTTCTGCGCATTCGTCCTCGCTGCTGCGCTTGGATGACAGATGGGTCGCGGCGTTTATGTGCGCAGTGGGCCAGGGTCGCCAAAATTGCGATTTTGACTTCTGATTATTCGGGGCCCCGGGGTCCCGCCATAGGGTTCACATGTCCGCGCGAGTCCGTCACTACGCGCACACGCGTGTCCACGTAACCTGTACACACAGATGCGCGGTCCGCCCTCCCACCCACCCACCCCCCCGCCTACCCGTAGCGGCGCCGACCGCCCGGCTCGCGAGTCCGAGTTCGGGCCCGGGTCGGGCTTCGTGTTGCTGGACGAGGTGTCGTGCCGGGGCGGCGAGGCCTCGCTGCTCGCGTGCCCACGCAGCGAGTGGGGGCGCCACGACTGCTCTCACGACGAGGACGTGGGCGTCGTTTGCCGTCGTCACGGCGAGGGCTCCCGGCCGCCCTTCTTCAAGGCGGCCCCGGCCCCGCGGCTCCGTCTGGCCGACGGGGAGAGCGAGCGCGAGGGGCGCGTGGAGGTGCTCGTGGACGGCCGCTGGGGCACGGTGTGCGACGACGGCTGGGGCCTGCCGGGAGGCCGCGGTGGTGTGCCGCCAGCTGGGATACAGGCGAGACGATCGTGCGCCCTCGGATCTGTTGGAGGCGATCGGCCCGGTCGGAGCGCGCTTGTGACAGCGCCGCCGAGATTCTGGCCGTTGAAGCTGCGTTTCTGTTACTCACCCCGATCGAGCCGCGTTCTCAAGTGTAGCCAGTTGATGATACGAGCCCGGCCACCGATGACTTCATGCAGCACTATGAGACCTCCTTTACCAGTGGCAAAATATAGTGATAGGTTTTTACCCTTTCAACTGGTACAAAAACTGTCCCCTTTATACAAGGTATCATGTTTGCAATAACCACAACACAAGCAGTCACTATATTTTGCCACTGGTAAAGGAGGTCTCATAGTGTAAATGCTTACCCCGAGCTCTCAATACTCTGATAGTGCGCTGTTTTTGAGTTGTACGCCTTTTGGCGTCATCTAGTCCAACACCAATGGAGACTAGGCTCTAAGAAAAGCTGTCTCGGGTGTGGACCAATCAACTTCAAGGACAGTGCATATCATTATCATTTTCAGAGTTTCTTTTTGTTTGCATTTTGACTGCTTGTGTTGTGGTTATTGCAAACATGATACCTTGTATAAAGGGGACAGTTTTTGTACCAGTTGAAAGGGTAAAAACCTATCACTAGACTTCATGAAGATCACGTCACGCACTATCTTGCATTGGCAACAACAAAAAACAATCCACCTCTGAGAATTCATCCTGATTGTCATCACAATTAAGGCCTCCTCAAGTCACTGCCACCTCTCACGGTCGCACGATGTAGCAATGCGTGACGCCCTCACTGACGTGTCCCCTACCTTGGCCACCACTCCTTTCTAGCGACGTGTCCTTTCCCGAGTCTGCTTCATTTAACCCCATCAGTCGGCACGACGCCTGTGGCTTGCGCTACGTCGTGCAATCCACGTGTTCCTCTCCCCGTCCCTCGGCGTAATCGCGAGCAGGGCACCCGCGCGTGCTCCTTTGCGCACCCTTCTCTGCGGGCGACGAGTTGTCCTGGGTTTGCCGCGTGACCGATGCCCGTGCCGTCGTTGTTCCCACAGCGGGCCGGCGCACGCGTGGCCCATGGCCTACTTTGGCGAGGGCGAGGGCCCGATCCACCTCCACAGCGTGCAGTGCTCCGGGCTGGAGGGATCGTTGCACGAATGCGTGCGCTCCCCCGGTGACCCCCACGACTGCCGGCACAGCGAGGACGCCGGCGTGATCTGTGACGAGAGCGGCGAGCGCGGCAACGGTACTCGCTCACGCGCTCGCTCACCCTATCGCTCTCTCAGTCACTCGCTTAATCGCTCGCTCGCTCGATCACTCACTCGTTCCCTCAATCATTAACTCGATCACTCGATCACTCACTCGCCAGTTCAATCATAAATCCGCTCACCCATCCGCTCGTTTACTCACCCATTCATAAATGCCCTCACCAACCCATTAATATGCATGCCTCCTTCATGCCTCCTTCAGTCTGACATGCACATAAGCACTGCACACCTCTTCTTCTTGGTTCTTTCGGTAAAGTCACGTAGAAGGGAAATAATAAAATAATAAAGTATACAAATATTATACTTTTATTATTTCCCTTCTACGTGACTTTACCGAAAGAACCAAGAAGATGAATCCCTGCAGTCACGAAAGCTTTAAATCGAAATTTGCACACCTCTTGTTCATGTATTCACCGATCCACCATTCACTCACTCACCCACATTGTCACCCAATCACACATCCATTCACTTACTCACCCACCCACTCGCCAAATCACACATCCTCTCACCAAGGCCGTAATTATTGGGGGACACACATCCCCCCCCCCCCCCCCCCAATATTCAAATATGCTCGAAATGTCCCCCCCAATATATTGCTGTGGTTATGGTTGTAGTTTATTAATCCCTAATCTCTGCCATTACAAACAAGAAAAAGTAAAAAAGAAACAACAGAGTAATGTAATACAATACACTATTAGACATTATTGTAAAAAAGAAATAAAAAGTCCATCCTATCTGTTAGTGCATTTTTTTTTATTTCAGGCAAGAAATGGCAGGAAACTCGTTTTCAAATTTAGATTTTTTTTTTCTGGGGGGGGGGGGGGGCAGACCACCTGGATGATTTGGTCCCCCCCCAATGTTGACTCCATGGCTACGGCCTTGCCTCTCACTCACTCACAAATACATGCAGTGTGCTCGCACAACCACCAACAGGAGAGTTTCACAACTACTTGTGAAGTGTTTCCCCTTCGCCCCCCCGATGCAGAGGTGGAGGCAGGAGTGTGCGGCGTGCGTCCACTCCGCAGGGGCAAGCGCATCGTGGGAGGGCGCAGAGCTGTCAGGTGAGCGTCCAGATGCCTCCAAATTCGTATCCACCTTTAGTAAAATCTTGCACATCCTTCATTTTTCGTCTTGCATATCAAGTGAAAACCATGAACGTTCAGGATGTTTTTGCACGCTCCTTGTTTCATTTCATTCCATCCAGAACATCTGTTGCTTGCATCCCGTCACGGTGGCGAGATGTTAACTACCTCGCATGGTATACAGGAGGTCGTGGGTTCGATCCAGACCCTGACGCCTGCTGTATATTTGGAGTTTGCGTGTTTTGTCTCCCCGTGGTCGCGTGGATATTTCTCCGGGTTCTCCGTTTTTTTCCCTCCACATATATAATCAACGCGCGTTTCGATAATTTGGCTGCTATAAATTTCCCCGCAATAAGCCGCTTCATTGCACGATCATTTGTGGCCAGGTCGCTCCTGAAAAAGAGCTATGTAGCTCAGTGGGCCTTACCTGGTAAAATAAAAAAGTAACGACTCCAGGAAGTGGCCCCGAAGCTTGCCATAACGTAAGGGGCCGGATTATCCCATTAGCAAAAGTAGCTACATATGCTACAGGCCCCGCACTTTCAAGGGCCCCGCGCTAAACGCTTTCAAGCTATTAATTCCAGTTCAGTGATTCTCCACTTGCTCTATTAGTATAGTACTATACCACCTTCAACTTTTATGAACGACTGGGTGTTTAAGGTTAGCGATTTGTCGTATTATCTGGCTGTATGGCAAATCAAAAAATAAAATTACGTTTCTATGCAAGTTAGAAATTTGTGTTTTAATAATTATGAGTATTTTTTTTACGTACGGCCACATTATAACATATGCTACAAGCCCCGCACTCGCTTAATCCGGCACCGATTCCGAACCTGGCGATCGACCAACCGTGGCCAACCCGTTTCTACCGCTGGGTGGGCAGAGGTCGGAGGGATAGAAGAAAGAAGCCCATTGTTTCAACTGCCGTGCCTGGAGATTGAAGCGGCAACCTCCGTCCCAGATGCCCTTTGCGCTTCAAGGCGGCGTCCCAGCAGCAGTGAATACCTTGATGCAGCAAATCTGGCTGTGACGGTCCCACCTGATGACGGAGACTTGTGTTGCCTCCAAAACGTCGTGATTTTTATTTTATTTTACTTTTATTAATTTTAATGTTTTACCTACGTGACTTTACCGAAAAAAACCTAAGAATATGAATCCCTGCAGTCACGAAAGCTTCAAATCTAGAAGCAGTGAATACTGTTACAGCGGCGTTCCCAAACACGACTCACTTGACTATCGAGGTTTCCGTTATTCGCACGCTTATGTTTGCACTCTTCCGCGGTGGAATATTGCAAAGCCTGTTTATGTTTTCCCCTAATGGCACGGCAAATGGATTTTTGAGGGGATTTAATGGGCCCTCGACATCACTTAGCAATGCAGGTTTTCAGACCTACCATAATGCGACAAGGCAACAGCATCGTTCACATTGAAAGCTCGGGTAGATTTCACTTAAGTCGTGTCACCCACTTAGCCCCTTTAATGCACTGACCTCTCGCGAAACAACGCATTCACCTGATGGGCAGTGATGTGATGGTACAGCAAGTCGTAGTTGTTGTTTTAAACCGGTCTGTGCAGATCTGTTTGAGTGTTATTCCCTTCGTAGGCGTGGGGTTTCCTCCGGGCCCTTTGCCTTTCCTCCTCCCCGTGGATTTTGTATGTCAGATGTGTGACGTCCGCGGATTTTGCAGCTTGTGGAAACAGTCAAATAAAGCCGGTTTGAGTGTTGTCGTGGGCCTTGTCGTCCCACAGGGGCAGCTGGCCCTGGCAGGCCTCACTCAGGCTGCGAGTGCCGGGAGGCCAGAGCCGGCTGCTGTGCGGGGCGACGCTCATCGGCACCTGCTGGGCCCTCACGGCCGCTCACTGCTTCAAACGGTGAGCGGCGCCGCGCTCCGTGACTCCCCGCGCTCGGAACGCCGCCCCGGCTCCGATGTATGTATGTGCAGTACTTTGAACTTCTTTCGCACCGTACGTAGCCAACCGTGCTAATTGGAGGTGCGGGGGAAGGACAGCAAACAAAAAACCGTTTCACCCTCTCATATTCCTCAGGCGAGGCACCTGTGGCAGGCCAGGTGCACTTTGAGGCCACGGGAAGTATCGAAGGGTCGCTGACAGGTCACGGACCAGACCCGGGTGCCATGGGTTGACTGACCGAGATGACTTACAGATGCACCAGCTGTGCCTCCCCCCCCCCCCCCCCCCCCCGCTGTACCGCAGCTATGGCACCAACAGCACCCGCGCGTACGCGGTGCGCGTGGGCGACCACCACTCGCTGGTGCCCGAGGCGGCCGAGGAGGAGATGCCGGTGGAGCGCGTGGTCACCCACCCGGGCTACGACGCCGCCTCGGGCTCCAACCAGGACGACATCGCTCTCGTGCAGCTGCGGCGGCCCTCCGCCGCGACCCCGGCCCGTCGCTGGCCCGGCGGCGAGGAGGTCGGAGGTCGGCCGGGTCGGCCGCGCGGCGGCCGCATCGAGGAGGAGGCGTGCGCGCGGCTGAGCGCGCGCGTGATGCCCGCCTGCCTGCCCGCGCGGGGACGGGGGGACGTGCGGAGGACGACGAGGGGGTGCTACGTGACGGGCTGGGGCGACACGGGTGAGGCGGGCGAGGGGGTCGCGTGCTTCGTCACGTCGACGGCGGAGACTCTGCGACGGTCGTCGAGTGTCTCGGATTTCATGTTTGTCGTTCTCTCTGTCTCGTCAGGCTAAGGTTTGTTAAACGGTGAGTCAATTGGAAGTCATGAATCCCTGCATTCACGAAAGTTTTAAATCAAAATTAAATTGGAAGTTGTTAATTGTTGGTATGAAGGGGTGGGAAAATTATGCCCCCCCCCTCCCCGCAATTTTATCAGGTCAGCCAATCGGTGGCCTTCATGAATCCTTTTTAAAACCTATCTCGCTAATTACTGATCCTGGTCTTCCTCGGTACACTACGTTACTAAATCGTCTTAGTCTGCCACTTATTAATTTAGTCTCGTCAGAGCCAGGCATCCTTTGGCCTTTGGTGGGGAGTCATAATTATCATCATCATCATCATGTACGTATGTATCTTAAACTACTTTCGCACAAACTGTGCTCATCGGAAGTGCTTGATGACTCCCGTCGAGCCATAGTCAACGATGACAAGAACTGCAACGTAACTTTGTTGACAAATACTTTTGGTCACCAATATGAACAATATTACCGTTGCCCAGCTGTTCGCATGGCGACATGGATGATCTTTGTCCTTGCGCAACATCGTGGAGGAGCGGCAGTGTCGCGGTTAGCGCGCTGTGTTTGGAATCCGGCGACCCGAGTTCGATTCCCACTCACGGCCAACCTTGGTGACGATTATCCGAACCGGTCCTGTGCATCCCCCAGTGTGACTCGGCCTCGAATGAGTACCCTGCGCGGTGTGTAAAACATCGCACGAGGGAGACAAAGGTGGTCCGGGCGTGGTGCTGGCCGCCCACCCTCTCGTGTGCCGTGTCAGCATCCATAGGTGTTCGCTGACAGCAATTGCCCCAGAGTCTGTTCAAGGTTATTCGGGGGTCTTTGTCTTTGTAACGTCGTGTCCATAAGTGTCAATTGCGTGCATGTCGGGAGCGGTGGTGGAGCGGTTAGCGCGCCGCGCTATGAACCCTACAACCCAAGTTCGATTCGCTCTCACAGCCAACATCAGTACGGATTATCTAAACCGGACCCGGGCCTCCTCTAGGTCGACTCAGCCTCAAATGAGTACGTGGTGCGGTGTGGAAACATCGGCATTGGAGAGACAAAGGCGGCCGGGCGTGGTGCTGGCCACCCACCCCCTCGTTTACCGTGCCGGCCCTCGTAGCTGCTCGCTGACAGCACTTGCCCCATCAGTCTGTGAAAGGCTACACGGGGGATCTTTGTCTTTGTTTGCGCGACAGGCGTCGCGTACTCGCGCACGCTGCAGGAGGCGCGCCTGCCGCTGCTGCCGCGGCGCGTGTGCCACCAGCACTACGGAGGGCGCTTCCTGTCGGAGCGCATGCTGTGCGCGGGTGGCATCAGGGACGGCGCTCGCGTCGACAGCTGCCAGGTGTCCGGCCACCGTTACACTGAAACTGACCCTCCAAACTCGAGCTGAAATATGGTGCTTGTTCCAAAGTGAGGTCGGTCCCCTGTCAATGGAAATGTGGAATTGTGAATTAGCACAATCCACCATGCGCTACCTCCCAAGTAGATAAACTGCAAAAAAGACAGCACTAAGTTAATCCTAAACAAATTTTACTCATTTCTATTTTACCAGGTAAGGCCCACTGAGCTATAGTGCACTTTTTTTCAGAAGCGACATGACCACAAATGAGAGCTCAACAAATGTGGCTTATCGTGTGGAAACATACAGCAGCCAAATACTCTAAAACGCCTGTTTCTAAATGTGGAGGGAAAAACCGGAGGACCCGGACAAAAGAATCAACGCAACCACGGGGAGAGGGAGCATGCAAACTCCAAATATACAGCAGGCGTCAGGGTCTGGATGGAACCCACGACCTCCTGTATACCAGGCGAGGTAGTTAACATCTCGCCACTGTGGTGGGACGCAAGCCACTGATGTTCTGGATGGAAATTAAATTAAACAAGGAAGGACAAAAACATCTCGCACGTTCATGGTTTTCCAATAATATGCAAGAGGAAAAATTAAGGATGTGCAAGATTTTACTAAAGATGTATACGAATATGCAAGATTTGTCCGTAGCCTAATTCACTTTCCAACAAGGTCAAACAAACCTCCGTGAGCGACACGTGGATTGATAAAGGGCTGTCAATGATTATTATTATTATTATGCATACAAATTAGCCATTCAACAAATAATCTAGTTATCGATTAAAATCCACACTTATGATGATCATGATACATGCAACAAATTACATCAAATCACGTACGAAAATTCGATTGGAACATCGCAACTTGGCTAACGAGGAAAGTCTGACCAAGACTCCTGACCGGGATTTCAACTCGCAGTGTTTTGACTGCGAGCCGCAGACGCTCTTTGCGTTGTTGCGTCGCTGAACAAGTCTTGTCAGAGATGCATTCCCGCAAGGTGTGTTCAAGCCTCTCGCACGCACCTCCCTCGCCGAGGCCTCCGGCGATACATCGCTGCGACTGCAAGTGGCCTTCGTGCCGCAACAGGCAGCTCATCCGTCTTGAGTGGCAGCCGGAATTCATAATTGGAGAGAGGGGAACGCGATCCGAAATTGTTTCTCGCTCCCTGAAAAATGCTGAATACTTTAAAACGTACGCAGTTCGTTTGCACAGCTTCTCGAATGGGAGCTGTTCATGGGTTCGATGCCGACCCTGATGCCTGCTGCTGTATATTTGGAGTTTGCGTGTCTCTCTCTCATCATCATCACGGTGGCTAGGAGATGTTGACTACCTCGCCTGGTATACAGGAGGTCGTGGGTTCGATCCCGACCCTGACGCCTGCTGCTGTATAGGTGGAGTTTGCATGTCTCTCTCTCCCCGTGGTCGTGTGCATTTTTCTCCGGGTCCTCCGGTTTTTCCCTCCACATTTAGAATCAACATCACGCGTTTAGATTATTTGGCTGCAATACATTTCCACACCATGAACCACTTCGTTGAGCTATCATGTGTAACCACGACGCTTCTGAAAAATATCTATAATAAATAAATAAAATTCTTCTTTTTTAATAGTTCAGTTTAAGTTTCAAACCTCTAGCTCCTTGCAGACTGCTCTCATCAGTTTCTGGTATCATCGTAAGGGTCTCGCGTCCATGGAGAATTGAAAACAATTTCGTCTCCTACTGATGCAGAAAAAAAGGCTTTTGGCCCGTAACGTGCACGTAGAGAATGCGCGGAATTTCACGGCGCGATCGAGTAAGCAGCTTGGAAGTTTGGACTCGAACGAGGCTCGGAGGTTAGTTGCTGAACTTAAGACCGCCGATATCCTGATTCTTTTTGTTGAATGCGGTTGGGAAAGTGCTGCCCCCCTGCGCGTGGCTGAGAGATCGCTTGATGAGATGTCACAAGCAGTGACAAGCAGTGCCGGATTAAGCTAGTGCGGGGCCTGTAGCATATGCCATAAAGGGGCCCTAAATAAAATAAAAAATACGTAAATATTCAAACACAAATGTTTTACTTGCATAGTAAAGTAATTGTATTTTTACATTTGCTATACAGCCAGATAATACGACAAATCGTTAACCTAAAACACCCAGTCGTTCATAAAAGATGAAGGCGGTATAGTACTATACTAATAGAGCAAGTGCAGAATCACTGAACCGGAATTGACAGCTTGAAAGCATTTAGCGCTGGGGCCCTTGAAAGTGCATGGCCCGTAGCATATGTAGCTACTTTTGCTACTCAGATAATCCGGCACTGGTGACAAGCACCATTCATAGCAAATGCGTCATCGAGCGTTGATGAAGAGTCCTATAGCAGTCCGATAGCGGGGAGACTGCAGATGTAGTGTTGTGACATCTTCGCTCATTGTGAGAGTCGTCTGTGCAAATCTCAAGATTACATGGCAAATAATCATAATAATAATATACAGCCCTCTTTTAGTCCACTGCTCCTTGGGATGAAAAAAAACCCTATGAAATAGCAACGACAGTATTTTGGGATAAGAAAAAATAGCAACTACAGTTTACATATAAAAAAAAATGTGTGGATTATTATCAACTCGCAAACTAACTCGCAAACTAATTTCCTGTTAAAACATTCACTAATGGAATTTTTTTATGGTGACGTTTGCGAAAGCATCCGTTGCTTAACCCTTTCCGATGACTGGAATAAAATGTTTAATAAACAAAATTTTTTATCGGTACCAAGGCTCCCACAAGGCCATGTGGGTGGGAGTGTAGCACAGTTTGGCACCAGCTATCATAGAGTGCGGCGGTCGTGTCGCTACAGTTCTCTGCGGTGAGTACATTAAATAAAATGAACGCCGAGCCTCTGAGATTCATCGGTGAACGGGACACTCACCCTGCAACCAGGCAGATGTCTCAGAACGGCAAAGGGTTCATTGTACCGTGTCGATGATTGTCTACCAATGTCATTTAAATATTAGCTTTGCGTCAATCGGCTGCTCCGTTCTCTCTCGTGTTATCCTCACGACGGCACTCGCCACGGGCCGTCTCCTGCCCGTGAACAGGGCGACAGCGGCGGCCCCCTGGTGTGCGAGCATCCCGACGGCCGCTGGGAGCTGCAGGGCGTGACGTCGTGGGGCCGCGGCTGTGGCCTCCGTGACTCCCCTGGCGTCTACACCCGCGTGTCGGCCTACCTCGGCTGGATCCGGAGAGTCTCACACATCACGTGACGCTTCACGAGCGTCGACAGGAACGCGGTGTTGTCGACCAAGCGACTTTCTTTTTTGTCGCTGGATTTTTGCGACTTTTATTTTCCCCTTCCCCCCCGCCGCCCCCCGAACGACAACTTTTATTTCAAAGTTGCTCGCGACAAATTTGGCCACTTTCTGGGACATCATGTAGATTTGGGAGCGATTCAAGGTTTTAAAGTATTAAGGATGTTGTATCATCATCCTCATGAGCCACGGTCAGTCCACTGCTGGATGAAGGCCTCCTCAAGCCACTACCGTCTCTCATGATCCTGCGGTGGCATGATCCACCCAGCACCTGCACGCAAGCTGATTTCTCACTACTTTTAAAATCTGGCAAATTATCAAGCGACATCTTTTGCGACTTTCTGACTATCAACTGGGAACGCTTCCGCTTTACGGAATGCTGACAAGAGCCTCAGCAAAGCCTCTCATCTGGTCGGCTTTCAGATTTGTGGTGAATGTTAAAAGGTCAAGAGGTCATGGCTGGTGCCAATTATGGGGACCAGACATACACACACTTAGACATCACTTCTGTCTGCCAGATCCTCTAGTTGTTGCAAAGCCAATGCCTCGAACTTCATGGCACACTCCTACAGTCATCATCAGTCAAGGCCAATCAGCTGCTTGTAGATGCCCCCCCACAAGAGAATCTGCGAAAGTGAACTCGATCAGGCACTGGAAATTAACCTTGGAGTTTGTGGACGGTGTTTACACACACGCAGCAAAGACAAAGATCCCCCGTATAACCTTGAACAGACTTTGGGGCAAGTGCTGTGAGCGAACATCTATGGAGGCCGACACGGCACACGAGAAGGTGTGCGGCTTGCATCACACCCGACCGCCTTTGTCTCCCTCGTGGCGATGATTACACACCACACAGGGTACTCATTCGAGGCTGAGTTGACCTAAGGGAGGCCCGGCCCAGGACCGGTTCAGATAATCGTCACCTGGTGTTCGCCATGAGCGGGAATTAAACGTGGATCGCCGGGTTCGTAGCGCAGCGCGCTGACCGCCACACTTACGCTCCCTCACACGCACGCAACCGACACCTGTGGACACGACGCTACGGTCGCATCACTAAACGTTGATGTTCACCGCCACGTGACCAGGGACCGCTCCGCTCACGTCAATTTAGTCAATATCAAGGTGGTGTTGACAACGTTGGGGCACGTGGCCGTTGGCAGTTTCTCACTGTAACAGCGTGTGACAGAAAGGGGGGCACGTAAGGATTTTGGTGATTCGATGAAATTGTCACATTTCAGAATGGTTGTCCGATTGAAGAATCCATTTGTTACCGTAGCTTGTGTGTCCGTCTCTTTGCACAGTAAGCTTGTTCGTCCGTCTCTCTTCGCAGTTTTTGTAACTCTGGGTTCGCCTAAAATGTGACGTTAACATATCATAAACAATCCATTGTCAAGCGCACAATTGTACGTATGTGTGTCGTGAGCATAAGAGTCGATGTATTGATGTATCGGTGCGTACTTATTGGATATGTGACAGGTCAGCGTGCCTGAATTATTCAAAAGCGTCAATGTAACTCGGTCATCGAAGTTTAATTTCGACCTGTTAGGGCAGTCCGCGACTCTCTGTTAGTGGCATCACTTCATAAGCTGTTTACCGTATTCGGTAACACTAACCGTCGGTGGTTAGTGGTAGGATTAGCACTGTTACCGCAAATATAAATTGTCGTTCTCCATGTCTGGGGAATCAGTGTTATTGACGCGGAATAAAACGTTTGACGTTTGGTCTCAATGTAAATGAATGACGATAGCATAAAAGTTGATACCGGACGAGCGATGGCCCAATACATTGGATCTCGGCGGCGGTGAATGACGAATTGTTTGAAAATCCAACTTCATTGAGTGAAGAGCAAATTAAAAATGGAAGGCTCTCACGTTCTGAATTGATCTCATTGAAAGAGAAGTGCACACTTGGTCTCAAGGCAAATTACGATCATTTAAGAATGTATCTCGGTGCATGTCAATGGGGTGAACATATCAGAATCGATCTCTATGAACAGTGATTGTTAGATCCTTTCCGAAAGGATATCGACATACATTAATGATGGTCGTTGCACAATCGATGTTGGTGAAAGTGAATGATCATTCCACCATTGGAACCTCATTTGCCAGTAAAAAATATGATAATTGTTTTTTTACCCTTCTATCTGGCAACAAAAACTGACACCTTTTTTTTACAAGGAGTCATGTTTGCATAGACCACAATACCTGCAGCCATAATGCAAACAAAAAACATAACTCTGATAATATATGCACTGTCCTTGAAGTTGATTGGTCAACACCCGAGACAGCTTTTCTTAGAGCCTAGTCTCACATGGGTTGGACCAGATGACGCCAAAAGGCGCACAACTCAAAGACAATGCACCATTAGAGTATGCGAGCTCGGGGTATGAATTTACAACATTGGAACCTCATTTGCCAGTAAACAATATGATAATTGTTTTTTTACCAAAAATATGACAATTGGTTTTTTACCAATTATATTTTTTACTGGCAAATGAGGTTCCAATGGTGTAAATGCTTACCCCGAGCTCTCATACTCTGATCATTGTTTCAGAATGTTGTCCTTCCCCGGCACCTCAGATGAGCACGGTTGGCTACGTACGGTGCGAAAGAAGTTATACGTACATACCAACATTTAATACATTTCACTATTTATGAATGCACGTCTGTGAACGTCAACGCCTTACGTATCCTCCGGAGACACGTGCGAGCGAGCGCGCAAGACGAGTCAGGCCCTGCAAGCCCGATGAACTCGTGGAACTCGCGTGAACTTTCAAAAGCCGTGGCCGAGTGAAGGCGGTTCATCGCGAGTGCGTCATTTTTTTGGGGGGGAAATTTCTAAAAGGATGAAGTCATTCCCCGTTTGAACCGCATTCGAAGCCAACTAGGCCACTGCATCCCCCCCCCCCACCACCGATGTTCAACTTAAACGGGCGCAAACTTTTGGTTGTTGTAAAAATACATAAACGTCGCATTTCCCCCACACACACCACCCCCTTTAAGTTGCTTTAAGTTAAATGAGCCGTGCGCGCGGCCCCTTGAGAGGTGATTGATGCCGTGTTCGCGTGCCGGCTGCACGCGCACTCAGAAGAGTTCTTCGTCGTCCTCGATGGAGCGTGCGTGATTTCCCCCGCCGACGTCACGGATTCCGTCACGGATTCAATGGGAAGATCACGGACCATTAGCCAAAACGAATAAATATCATTCCGTATGCAGCCGTGGCAGGCGGGGTTGTCGGGCGTGCGCGAGACCTGGGTTTGCCCTTTGAACTGCAACTGTTGCTTTTTTTGTTTGAAGCGTTCGACACCGCCTGGCATTTGGCCACGTCAAGCTTGCTCTGTGGTGGATGTCGCAACATCCTCCGTTTGGATTTTAGATGGTGTCTAAGGCTTGCAAGCATTTGCGTCATGCTTTTTACGTAAATTTGGGCTTTTAATATCTAAAAATGTTTTCATTTTACAGCCAGGATCATTACAAATTTATCGATGGCAACAAGTTCACTTTGACAGTTGTGTTTTCTCAGTTTTGTCTGTGTGTTTTGTGTCTTCAGGTCTATCCCGATTGTGCTATCGGTTTCAGGTGATGAGATGAAGTCGCCATTTGGATCCCTCACAGCAGTGCAACGCTGTGTTAGAAAACGGCCCACAGAAGTGGACATTACAGAGCTACATCTGAGGTCCTTCCAAGTCACAAAGACAAAGATCCCACGTATAATCTAAACAGAATGTTGGGGCAAGTGCTGTTAAAGAGCACCTATGAAGGCTGGCAAGGTACACGAGAGGGTGGGTGGCCACCACCACGCCCGGTCGCCTTTGTCTCCCCAGTGACGATGTTTACACCGCCCCAGGTACTCATTTTAAGGCTGAGTCGACCTAGAGGAGACTCAGGACCAGTTTAGATAATCGTCACCGGTGTTGGCCGTGAGCGGGAATCGAACTCGCGTCGCCGGGTTTGTAGCGCAGCGCGCTAACCGCTACACTACCGATTCCCACAACATAAGATCCACACACACACACATACCCTGGCACATGTGAGTAATGTTTATTGCACGCTAGTAAAACCAAGATGAATTATTCTCGGAGCTGCCATCGGAGGCATGTCACTATTGTCGAGTATTGTAATCATCAAGGTAATCATCTGAGACATACTGCGCATCATCAAATGGAAATCTGATCATACACAGAACACGGAATAATAGCATGGTATTACTGCTAGCAGATTTTTGGTCGTCTGAATACAGTCGCGCATGAATTAAAATGCGTTGCTCCACTCCTCCGAATTTGTGCGTGCTCTATTTTAAACCAAGGCTGGAGGGCAGCCCCTGTTATGTGAGACCCTGTTATTACACGGGAATCCATGAGAGGGCAGAGTGACCTAAAGACCGCCGGGCTCGCGAAGTGATTGCGGTAGCTGCTACTGAGAGAGTACGGTAATGCGCATGGGGCACCATCCAAATGTACCACGGTAAGACAAAGATCACGAGACCATCTTCCAAGCTGTACGTCTCAACTCCAGTACTCGCCACGGCCCATAATCGCTTGCGATTATATCATAATTTTTTAATTCACACGCAACTTTATTCGCGATGAACACTCGCACGCGCCTGATGGTTAGCAGTCGCGGACATCTGTCCCCGAGGGGTATAGGGTCACGACTTTATAGCGACAGGATTAAGTGTAACGAGTGAAAGACGTGTTACTGTGTGCACGCGATATGGGATCATTGCACTTAAATACAGCTGACTCGATCATCCGCGCTAATGACGGAGAGGACGACGCGGATAAGTCAAAATCGCGGATAATCCAAAAATAAACTCCGCCCCACTTGCAAAGACATGGCAACTCCTGTATTGTAGAGGCGATCACGTGGATTTCGGATTAATCGGAGCAACATATTTGTTCGGTGTAAGCACGTACGCATTTCCAAGAATAACAATGTACAACTATTTTTAGTGAGCTTATAATGTACGTCAAAATCTCAGCTGCGCAGTTCATCCGCAAATCGGATCAACCGCACGCGGATAATCGAGTCTGTCAATGCAGTACTTTTCTCAATTAAGCTAGGCCTCCCCACACCGTGTCGATCATCGAGGTAGTTTGACCATACTTCACCACGCTAGTCTGTGCGTGCTGGTGAAGGATGGTCAGGTGGGGATTCCAAAACGGCTTCACATATGACTTGCCCTTGGTTATTCACAAGCCGCCCGGAATCGCATTCAGGTCACCTGGTTCATAGCGCAGTGCGCCACCGCTCTCCCTCGCAGGACTTAGAGCTACACTTAATACAACTATTCAAAACAATCTTTGCCTCGAGTGCTTTTTTTTTGACTCGCTGCTTGCTGGGCTCGTCTCCACCCCAACGGTGACTTCTATTGTTAGTGGCTGTGGGGCCGCTGCCACGGAAACTAGCCGGGTAACTGGCTGATATTTTTACGCGCAACAAGTAAACGTTGAATTGAAAGGGCGGAAGACGACAACATAATCGCGACACCGAAGAGGTATTAGTGACAAACACAGACGGCATTTTCACAGTTTTAATTTGTGCTCCTATAAATGCAAGTCCTTCACGTGAACAGTATTTACATGCGAGAGAATATAAAACAAATCTCACGAAACTGTACATATTAACTTTGAATTTCATTAAGGCATGAAAAAAACTTTTAGCGCACTGAGTGCATGCTTGTGAAAAGAGTGTGAGCATAACAGCTGTCTCTTATTTTCTGTTGCACAGCAACGGCTTCTCCACCAGTTTAAATTAACAAATGTACACTCATCCATGTAAAACACAAACAAACAGCTGTTGTCACCAGCAGATGCGGTGCCCCTGCAGTCAACTCCCATCGCATTCAGCGAAGCAGCATTTGATTCCAGTTGAGAGCGCGGCTGAGAACAGACGGCACCGGCTGGACGCGTGATGATGAAACTTTGTCTGCCCCGGTGGTTTCAGTTGTTGCTGTTTCCCCTCGTTGAAATGACAATGCCACCGATGCCGAGGCAGGTGAACGGTTATGCAACTTAATTGCTGGGGTTAGCATCAGAGGGCACCTGTCAAAACAAGTACAGTAAAGGATTTGTTACTTTAATCCGTCAAGTAAGCCTATTGTTGTATTGCGCTGGCATTGCTATGTTAGAGACCAAAACAGGAGGATTTATATTTAACACGTAGGCTTTCGCGACCAATATCATCCATAATATAGGTTTTTTTGGGGGTTAGATCACGTGCATATAAATGTGTCGATAAAACCCATCACCACCCGACACAGCCAATTAGTAAGGTTTGTCACGTAAACAAAAGATGCCAATCCGTTACTCGTGTAATGACATGATGACACCTGCTGGCTGGGGAAGGGAAGCACGGGTACGGAGACCGCTAAGACAACATCCAATCTGAAGGGAGAGGTATCCGCGGCAAAGGTAACAGGTAGGGTTGGCCGAGATGCTCCGGGAACTTGCTCGAAGGTTCCACGAGAGGGCATGGCCGAAGGCGGAGCCTAGCCGCACCTGAGAAGATATAAGCGCAGGCAGACCGGGGGGCTCGGGGTTCGTGTGTGGATTCTTGGGTCCGGACTGCGTCGCTGCTCGCCACCATCTCTCTCCGTCGTCCGGCCACGTGGAAGATCTCCTGCGGGGTTTCCATCGCCATCCGCCGTCAACGCCGAGTGAGGGCGGTGGGACCACGCCGAGTGATCGGCTGTGTGTAGCTAGTAGAGACGTTCATATCTTAGAGTTA